CTGCTGTGTCGGTGTTGACCGGATTCTGACCCAAACACACACTCACACACACCAACAGCAATGTCCACTTCAGCATCCTGCAAACACAGAGAAAAAGACAATCAGTATAACAACAAAACACAACAATCACAACACAAGAACGCTTCAATAATGAGAAAAAGACACCCGGTGCTCTCTAGTGGCTACGAGCTGAACTGAAGACATATCAGTAAATAGACCACCTAACATTAATTATTCGATTATAATTTCACCATTGCTTTATATTAACTCTACAGAGTATTATACAGATGTATATAGGCCTACACTAGACATGAGTGCGAATCATAACAAATGCGTCACACGAATACAGGCTTCACAACTGACCATCAGCTCACACAGACAGCAGAACACACTCATCTTCAGGTGAAATCCTCTTCACTTAATATCAGATGGAAGCTTTGGGTTTTTCCTCTTACCTTCCTTTGGTTTTTAGATCTCTGTCTTGTAATTTTGTCCTCCAGTGGTTCGACTCTTTCAGCTGCACTGAGCATCACTTTGTTTGTGGATCGTCTCTTTCCAAGGTGGAGCTTCACACCATGACAACCACGGTCCCAGGACCATTGAGCTCTTGCACGCACACACACAGATGCATGCAGGCACATACATACATCCGCATGTACGTCCATACACACAGACACTCAACACCTGCACATGAACAACCAGCACAATAACAGATAGAGAGAACTGCAGATTTATGATCAAATAACAGCTGAAATTACACCTAAATATAGACAAAAATATATATAAATCTACAGAAGCTGTGTGAAAATAAAATGTTTACATTTAGGACATGTGTCTAAAATAAATTGACAGAAAGGAGAAATAGAAAGATAGCAAAGTTAAATGCTTCAAAAATTTTGATTTATAATTCATTTTCTTTTCAGCTTAGTCTCTTTATTTATTTAGTTTATTTAATTCCCCTATAGTGCATGTGTTTGGACTGTGGGGGAAACCGGAGCACCCAAAGGAAACCAACGCCAACATAGGGAGAACATGCAAACGCCACACAGAAATGCCAACTGACCTAGCTGGGACTTGAACTAGCGACCTTCTTGCTGTAAAGCGACAGCACTAACCACTGCGCTGCCATTATTTATAATATTTATTATTATTATAAACAACAGTGATTTCTAAACAGGTATTTGCGTTTCAAAAGAAATAAAACTTTAAATTGTTAAAATGTCTTAACGTAATTTAAACATAATTAAAATAAATCAATAACTCTAGAACAATTACCAAGAGTTATAACAATGAATTAATTTAAAAAAATGTAGGAAAAAAAAAAACACCTCTCAAACCCATCCATAAAACAGCCCTGCTGAAAAAAAAATCATATCTATATATATATATATATATATATATATATATATATATATATATATATATATATATATATATATATATATATATATATATATATATATATATATATATATTAGGGATGTAACAATATTGTAAACATCGTCATACCGCAAGAGCAATTTCTTTCAACATTACCGTGGGTTTGACTCAAAATCATAGGTCTTTTGGTGAAGTTTGCTCAGTGGCGTAGCGCAAAATGCGGAGGCCCCCCTGCAGGGCTCGCTGACGGGGCCCCGTGATGGGGGGAGGGGGGGGGGGGATTTGGGGGGGGTACGTCATACGTCAATTTGCATATCACTGGCGTCATCACGTTCTACCGTTTCTGTTTAACAGCATATGGTTAATAAAGGGGCATTTATAATTGCACTACACTTTATATAAGCATGTTTATTTAACTACATTTATTGCTGTTTGAATACAGTATATCATTATAGATGTGAAACGATAGTGAATGTGCAGTAATCTCTCATATGAAATAAACTCAGACAAGTTCAGAAACTGTCACTAAAATATCTGTGATTGTGAACAAGAAAAGAATAAACGGTCCAATTAAATTGTTAAAATAAAGGAGAAGTAGATCGGTTTGACTGTACAAGGGAAAAACCTTCACACTGCCTGTGCTAAATCATTTGTCGTCGGTACGCAGAGTGGTGATCTGCTCTCGGGCTGCAGGTGGGAGAGGCTGCTGTACGAGAACTGACTGGGCCGCCTGTCAGTGCTGTGAGGCGAGGGAGGGGCCGGCGGCATCACACGCAGCTCGTTGAGAAGAGAAGGGACGGTACAGTATGGAAAAATGACAGTCTAAAAAAATCTCCAATAACACACAAAAAAGTCGCTAGATTTGTCGCTAGGGGGGTCTGAAAAGTCGCTAAATTTAGTGACAAAGTCGCTAAGTTGGGAACATTGGTGGCAAGCAATCAGAATGAAGTAGTCCACCGCTTGAGAGGTGTTCAGAGAACACAGACGTGTAAACTTTGGTTCCGACCACAGTTGTTCCCAACAGTTTATTGAAAATCGCGACGACGCGGGGCCCCCTAATCACGCGGGGCCCCCCCGCGGTGCGTGCCCTGCGGGCCCGTCCGCTACGCCACTGAGTTTGCTCAGGCGAATGGAGTGAATGGGAGGTAGTGGAAACTACAGTATTCATCAGCCCACGAGTGGCCATCATCCTTTGCAGTCTGTTGTCGCTATAGATCCAGTACTGCAGAAATGGAGGGCGCTGCTAGTAGCGGCAAAGAAAAAGAGCTATAAATGGTCGAACCTAAAGCGGGTTTTAAATCAGATGTGTGGAAGCATTTCAGTCTCTCTCTGAAAAGATACAAGAAAGAAGAAAATGTGACAGAAAAAAGGGTATGCAGGCACTGCCAGACTGTGCTGAAATACAAGTCGGGGAATACGACTAACATGATGGGGATTTTTTTTTAGTCAAGGGGACAGCAGAACACAGCACACTGCTCAGATTGATGGAGACATTGACTTGTACCACCAATAGACCTCTATCTCACTCATGGCTTGTCCTTTCGAGTGGTGTTTTTTTTTTTTTTTACATGGTTTAATATTTTTTGTTATTAAAATTTACTAACTTAAGTTCCTGTTTGAATGTCATTGATCTGTTCAGTGTTGAGGTAACCTGAACATTCTAGCACTTTTTTGAGTCTCTTCAATAGTTTTGTTTTTCCTTTAAATGATTCAATAAATACCGTACCGTCCCATTCATACCGAGGTATTACCGTATCGTGAAATTTTGATACCGTTACATCCCTTATATATATATAAATAAAAGCAGAATAAAAAGAATAAAAGCAGTTTTTAATATTTTAAACACCATTTTAAGGACAAAATCATAAACCCCTTTAAGCAATTTTTTTTTTTCAGGGGGGCTAATAATTCAGGGGGGCTAATAATTCTGACTTCAACTGTATATAAATATAACATATACACACACACACACACACCAGATGCTAACCCTAAATAATAGAGAACAGTGGTCAAATAAGTTCAAATAACCATTTATACACAAACAAGATCACAAAGTGAACTATACAAAATATCTGTTTGTCTGAAAAGTAAAACCAAACAAACATTTAGACAAACTTGACACCTCAGAGTTGTTTTTTGCTTGACTAAAGATGTAATGATTAACTCAGGTCATGATTTAATTTTTACATTAACAAATAAACCGAACAAGTAAGAGATCAAAAGTATTATGAAGTAAATTAAAAGGTGCCCTTTTACTGATGACTACATTTCTTTGTAAAACTTACAAAATTACAAAACTAAAATGCAATTTTAAAACAACCCCAACATCAAACACTGACTTTTTTTTTAAAGATGATTCCTTGGATTTACACATTTTTTTAAGTTAAGTTGTTGTAAACAATTTATTTGGGCTGAATTTAAACAAAACAAATTAAGTTGAACATTGAGAAATTTACAGTGAACTTGCACAAATAAAATAAATCTCGTCATATAAACAAAATGCCTTTTAATCATGAACATACAAAGAAACAGCACAAGGAGCTGTTAAATCTAAATCAGACAAAATGTGTAAAATTACATAACAAACCGGTCTGACTTTAGTCTTATGAAATAAAACTAAACTCTGCCAGCAGGTGGCGCTTATGAACAGCAGTAATATCGTTTTCAAGATCACTGCTGAAAACACTTATTAAAACTACTTCAGTACCGCATCATTGACTGGCAAGATAAAAAGAAAATAGCACATAAACCTTTCTAAAAGACGGTGAGTTCGCTCAGATTCATTTATATAGACTCCTGCTCCATTTTGTTCACCATCTCAAATTATTTGAATCGTCACATTTTAATCAATTTTCAACCGACTTGCCGCTCATCTTTAAAGGAACACTCCACTTCTGACTTTTTACAACTCTCCAAGAGTTAAAGAGTTGAGTTTACCATTTCTGAATCAATTCAGCTGATCTCCTGGTCTGGTAGGAGCACTCTTAGCTTTTTAAAGCAATAAAGCCGCCCTAATAATGAATGTAAAATAAACAAATAAAAACTCCTCAAAGATTTGAGATGTTCCAGAAAGTTAGGAAGATCATTCCACCGCTGAACAGCAGCAACAGTAAAGCTTCTTGAAATAAAGCTGGGCTTAGATCACTAAATTGAATTAATATATTGGCATCTCGTTCACATTTCAAGAGATTTGATAACTGATCTGTCCTTATAAGGCCGATGGGAAATTTAAAGTTGCCATCTTCTATGGGGATATAATTACAAACTAATATTTTGATTTCCCTGCTGAAAAATCCAGCTTAAACCAGCCAAGGCTGGTTGGTTGGTTTTAGCTGGTTCACCAGCCTGGTTTTAGAGGGGTTTTGGCCATTTCCAGCCTGGTTTTAACTGGTCTGGCTGGAAAATGACCAGCTAAATCCAGCTAAAACCAGCTTGACCAGCCTGGTTTAAGCTGGACATACCTGGTTTTGGCTGGGCTCCCATCTTGATTAGGCTGGTCAAGCTGGTTTTAGCTGGTCATCTCCCAGCCTGACCAGCTAAGACCAGGCTGGAAGTGGCCAAAACCCCTCTAAAACCAGCCTGGTCGACCAGCTAAAACCAGCCTAGGCTGGTTTAAGCTGTTTTTTTCAGTAGGGTAATAATCAAGGAATTTGCATATTATTGCTTCTGCTAAAGTCATAGTTCCTATTTCCAAAACAATAATTAAATGGAGTGTTCCTTTAAAGTTACATCTCTAATTTTGTCAAAGCAAAAGCAGCAGGAAATACACAAACACTATATTTGAGATATTTACAACAAACAGCAGAGAATTAAATAATTACCCTTTAAGATCACAGATTGTGAAGCGTTCTACATGAGTTAAATTACATCTCATCATTATTATATATTAGTGACTACAACAAACTACTTACAAAAAGAGTTCAAGCTACTGAACAAACGCAAAGACCCATCAAACCCCTGTGAGAGGCAAAACTAACATTACTGTACTATGACTATAAGCCATAAAAAGTCTGGCCGACAGGGTCAGAAGCTCGCTTTCAGAAAGATGTCTGTGATGAAAAATGAAGAATTACAGATGAAAGATACAATGCAATATCAAAAGATTAGAAGTTTGTGAAAATACTTCATGAATCAATATTGTATGTGTCAAATACAAACTGCAGCTGGAAACATATCAAAACTTACAAAAATCATTTTTACACTAACAATAACTTGTGGTAAAAATCTTTACATTATGCAAATTTAAATGACTTAAAACATTATAAAAAGTTTTATTAACCACACAAAAAAGTGTATCTATGTTATATTTTAGTTCTGCATGAACAATGACGTCTATTTTAGGATCGTAGGAATTAAATTACATACTATGGAAGTCAACGGTTACCGGTTTACAACATTCTTCAAAATATCTTTTTGTGTTCAACCAAAAAAGAAACTCAAATAGATTTAGAAGAATTAATAAATGGCAAAACTTACATTTGTGTGAACGATCCCTTAAGGGTGATTATTTATAGACAGCAGTTCTCCAAAATCATCCAAACTATCCAATAATTTATTCACTTGATCCGCATTGTGCACGACTTTACTCTTACAGAAGAACAACACAATCAAACTTATAAAAAATATTGTGATTTTTTTCCAGCTTTATGATGGCAGTGATGTTTACTAATTAAAAAAACCCATTTATAAAAGCACACAACACTTGACTGCCCTGATGCGTCATTGCATGTTTTTTTTATCACAACAAAAGTGCATCAAGCAACTTTAAAACAGACAACTAAAATAAATAATTGGGAATGATTATTTAAAGCAGATCTCATATTTCCAAAAGCATTATGTTTAAAGTAGATTAAGCACTTGCTGCTCTTTTATACCATAGTTAAAAAAACACTGACGGATCTCTGATGAAAACTCATCAGCTCAGTAAACCAGCAGGACTGTCAGTTATCAGATGATTCAACCACTGTAAGAGGTAACAATAGTGTTACGGTGTAGTTCAATGTTCACCTGGACCCATCAAACACAAATATGACTCTGCAGTACCATTAACAAACCCAATTCAAGTGACATTTCTGCAGCATTTTTAACAGGTAAATTCCAGGACACACTTGGCAACACAGTTGGGTTTCGTTGTTTGGCATTGGCTTGGTCTGTCGTGGCATAAACATGAAAGCAGGATTTATCCAGAAGATATCAAATGGCTTCAGAAAACTCAAGTCAATGACTACATTTAAATGGACATTCATTCATTTTCCTCCGGGCTAGTCCCTTATTTATCAGGGGTCACCACAGCGGAATGAACCACCAACTATTTTGGAATATGTTTTTAGGCAGCGGATGTCCTTTATCAGCTGGGAAACACCCATACACTTACACATTCTACGGCTAAGAAACCCACGCCAACACGAGGAGAACATGCAAACTCCACACAGAAATGCCTACTGGCCCAGCCGGGACTCAAACCAGTGACCTTCTTGCTGTGAGGCCAGGGCTAATCACAGAGCCACTGTGCCGCTTTTACATGGACATCAGTAATTGAACTACCTGCCTTAATCTGCATAAGCCAATAACATGATTAAGGTGTTTACATAAGTTGCTTTTTGAATTTTCCTTTCATGATCTCTTTTACATGTCATTCACCTTATTCTTCGCTGACGAGCGGACGCAGCCATTTGAATCTGTTTGGCTCGAGACGTCCGGTCTCAATCACTTCCATTCATTTTTAGACATCATAAACTGCTCGTTTCACTGTTTGATGTTGCAAACTGATATTTCCTTATTATATTATTCTACTTGGTCTATATAGTCATGCAAACATTTGTTTGTAGAGCAAGTAGTTTGACCATTTTCTGCCGTTTATTATTCATAGTCATTTGTCCCATAGGCGACTGAATCGGAAGTTCTGAAAACAATCACACTCCCGCCTTTTAGAATAAGGTCAATAGCACAGATCGATTAATGTTGTTGCGTCACCGCACTACCCAACATTTCATCCGGAGTTTCATGTAATTTCAAGCATTTCATTTTTAATTTTTCGACTTTAACTGCAGTTCAGGAGTTTAACTTCTATTCAGGAACATTTCATTGGATGTATTGGATGCGAGTACGGAGTAAAGACTGGTGGAAGAGTGTTGTTTTAATGGGATTTGATAACGCATGCCACACATTTCACGATGTGTGCATCTGTGGTCCTTTACGGACTCGGTTAGAGTAGAAAATAGTGTCAAACAGCTGTGTGTGTGTGTGCCTGTGTGGATTATCCTGTCAAAAAAACACAGCAAAAGTCCTACTTGACGGTAATAGTTTGATTGCAGTGTTTACATGTCTGCACTGCACTTCAATAAAGGGATACCACACATCTTAATTCCATTTGTGTTTAATACGATTACGACTTTAGTTAGATTAACGTAATCAAAATTCTCTGTTTACATGCTAGACTCTTAATCAGAGTATTGTCTTAATCGTACTAAAACCGGAGTATTGATGTCCATGTAAACATACTCAATGAATAATTACGGGCAATTTTCTGTAAAGGTCTGTATGTGTGAACAGGCCCTATTTGAAGATACTGGTAAATTCATTCTGGCTATTTTCGGGAAAGAGAAGTTGTAACATTATCGGTAATATGCAGGAATGCTGCGCTGTGTGAACGCAAAAGGAAGATTGCCGGAAAGAGCGCGTTCACATCTAGAACATGCTGACGCAAGACGTCCACTTTAACTAATAAGAACATTCAGACACATTCACGTCCACCCGGTTTGTAAGAATAAAAGCCAGTGATTATTTTTCCACTCACATTTAGCTGCTAGATGTTGGTCAGATAATGTTTTTGTTCCTTCTTAATGCCAACTCGGTTAAAATGTATGGATAAAATGCTTATGATAAACCAATGTTTGTTTACCTTCAAGCTCTGATGCGTTTGCACGTAAAGCAGCCGGTAGGCGCCAGCGCACACACATATTATGAACATCTCGACATGAGAAAGTCTTCCATATGATTTCATCAAAGTTGTTCACCATACTGATCCATTCACAGAGTTTGAAATGTGGTCAAATGTTTTCAAATACAAGCGTAGCTGTTTAGAGCTCATTTTTGGTTAATGATGTCAGAATTTACCGGAATTTTGGAATGGATGTGTGAATGCTCTTTCGGAAAAATTCCATAAAGTCCTTGCCTGTGTGAACAGCGCTTTCATGAATTTACCGGTGAATTCGTTCCAGACATTTTCCAGATAATTATCATTATCACTGTGTAAAAGGGGCTAATGACAATATTCGTTTGGCCATAAATTATGTCTTTTTTTTAATATATACTCACACATTCAAACAAACGGATAAAAATTATTGTGGTCAACGGCAAAGCACGTGAATAAAAAAGGTCCCATTTAAACAGATCCATCGCTGATGTCTGTAAACTCTGCTGGAAGTCGTGCTCTCATAAAACACTTAACATGATCGTTTTGTAGTTGCGAGATTTCCCTCAAGTAAGGGTCGAAAGACCCTACTTCGTCCTGTGATGGATTCAAATCCTAAGTGGACTTTGCAGATCCTCTGATGTGACGATTGCAGAGGTGCACATTGCATATCGATGCAAAAACGATAATGTGGCCCTAATAATCAGATTATGAGAATCAAATAAAGACTTCTCCAAGAGTTCAGCGTGTAAGGAACATAAAGGAGTCAATGACTGTTTTCTTTAGGCCATAAATTAAAGTCTTTTTTTATATATACTTCTGTTCATACGAACAAATAAAAATTATTGTTGTCAACAACAAAGCACGTGAATAAAAAAGGGCCCTATTTAAACAGATTCATCGCTGATGTCTGTAAACTCTGCTGACAGTCGTGCTCTCATAAAACACTTAACATGATCGTTTTGTAGCTGCGAGATTTCCCTCAAGTGTCGAAAGAATTAGTCGTCCTGTGATGGATTCAAATCCTAAGTTGACTTTGCAGATCCTCTGATGTGACGATTGCAGAGGTGCACATTGCATATTGATGCAAAAACGATAATGTGGCCCTAATAATCAGATTATGAGAATCAAATAAAGACTTCTCCAAGAGTTCAGCGTGTAAGGAACAAAGGAATCAATGACTGTTTTCTTTAGGCCATAAATTAAAGTCTTTTTTTATATATACTTATGTTCATACGAACAAATAAAAATTATTGTTGTCAACAACAAAGCACGTGAATAAAAAAGGGCCCTATTTAAACAGATCCATCGCTGATGTCTGTAAACTCTGCTGACAGTCGTGCTCTCATAAAACACTTAACATGATCGTTTTGTAGTTGTGAGATTTCCCTCAAGTAAAGGGTCGAATGAATTAATCATCCTGTGATGGGTTAAAATACAAAGTTGATTTTGTAGATCCTCTGATGTGACGATTGCAGAGGTGCACGTTGAGATATCGATGCTGAAACGATATATAACGCAGCCCTAATAATCTGATTGAAAGAGAAACACACAGACTCCTCAAAGATTTCAGCGTGTGAGGAAAGTGAATGTGAGTCAATGAGTTTTCTTCTGGCAATAAATGAAGTCTTTATATATCCTCACGTGTTCATACGAACAGATCAAATGATTGTTGTCAATGGAAAAGCACGTGAATAAAAACGTCCCCATTTGAACAGAACCATGGCTGATGTCTGTAAACTCTATGCTCTCATAAAACGCTCGACTCCACACTTTCAATATGACCGTTTTGCAGATGCGAGTTATGATTTCCCTCGAGTAAAGGGTGGGATGAATTGAGATCGTCCCGCGATGGTGGTAATGTGCTGAGAGGCGTCAGATCTGCGTCTGTGGTGGCACATGGCGTGTATCTGGCCTCTGTGTCTGCTGGTGATTGGCCGAGCCGCTCCAGGAGCAGGGAATGAATGTATCCGATAGGAACAGGAAGTGATGCAATTATGATCAGTATGATCAGAACAGCAAGAGCCCAATCAGGATATGGAAGATCTTCTTTGGATGCCTGAGAGAAAATGTTGGATATGGTTACATCAAATCAAATTATTATGATTTTAAAAGTCTATTAGAAAGGAAGGAAGTAAAGGAAAAATATGCATTAATGTAGCATCATACTTGACATGCAGCTTTTTGGTTCATATAGCATAAAATAATGCAAATATGGAGAGGAAAAAAAAGCTTAGCTTTGACCAAATCTCTGTAGTTTAATGACATCAGATGAATACATCTTAAAAAAAGAAAACTGGCATTGCAATATTTTGCTTTCTATTATATTAATATTGCAGTTTTACCAGATGACTCTGTGTATTTGGAAACAAGCCACAATTTTAGATTGATTGGGGTGATTTTAAAGGTGCTTAATTTTTTTTGCAATTGATTTTACCTTCTCTCTATTCCACGCAGAGTATTCGGGACGCTTCAATATCATCTTTAGCAGACTGGCCCCCAAAAGTCCCAGCATAGCAATTGGACACACAAATTTCCACAAGTACTTGTATATAACGGGGATCGGCCGATTCAGCATCTGTTTCAGGTCCTCCAAAAACCTGCAATAAAAATACATCTTATTGATGCCGTTTACACAACAGAAGAGCAGATCATTTTATGGATGTGACATCTGCAGTAAAAACTATTATAGTGAAACATCAGTTTATATTTCCCAAAAAGCTAAGCACAGAATTGTGGGATCAGAAAAATACCAATCAGAAAACCTTTTTCATATTTTAAATGAGGGAAATAAACATGGAATATGGAGGGGGGGGACACGCTTACTCCACGAGACGAGACAAGACACGAGATTGGGTTCACGAGAACGAGACGAGGCAGATTTACACTATTATTAAGAAATCTTCAATGATGAAATGCATGAATTAAAAATATCTTTTAAACTATTTTTAACTTTATCAACTTGTAATGAATGTCATTTTACTTATTTTTTTTAATGAATTCTAAGCAGTAAAGGAGATGCGAACACTGCAAATTATTTTGCTAATATTTGAATCTATTAGACACGCTGAGGAAGGCATTGTGCCGAAACGTTTGTGTCTTTAAATCACCCGAAGAATGTAAAAAGAAAAACATTAGGAAGCAATTACTTGAGTGCAAATCATTACTTTTTGGCTAATATATGAATAGAATATAGTATTTACATAATTAAATATTAGCAAACTATTTGCTAATATATGAACGAAAAATACATTTTTATTCAACTGAGGAAAAAAAAAAAATAAAAATCACAAAATGCAAAAAAATTCAGGTGCTTTTTTAAATCAACTTGTAATGAATGTTATTTTACATTTATTTTAACGAATGATGCCACAAAGGACATGCAAGCACTACTAAATATTTAGCTTATAAACTAGACTGACTTCTCCCCTGTACAGCTTTACATGAGAGTCGAACTCCTGTCCACAAATTGAACGTAATTTTATTTTTTTAATGTACGTGATCGTGTCATTTTTGGTTCAATTTTTCAGCAGTTCCACTTTCATTCAGCAACAGCTTCAGTTTTTCTTCCCTGTTTTTTTCAGACAGCATAAACATGTGTTGGGTGATGATGGCGACGGATGTGCATGTGTGTGTGCACACTTGGAGGAGATGTGCGTGTCTGTGGTCCTTTACTGACTCAAGGGGAGCAGAAAACAGTGTCAAACAATCGTTTGTGTGTGTGTGTATGGTTTATGTTGTCGCAAAATTCAGCTAAAAGTCAGCTTGGGTGTGTGCAAAGCACTAGATGTGTGGATCGAATTCAATCCTGCCTCCAATCTTAAAGGGGTGGTCCACTACGATATTATATTTTAAACTTCAGTTGATGTGTAATGTAGCTGTGTGAACATAAACAGCATCTCTGAATGTAAAATATTCAAAGTTTAATGCAAAGGGAGACCTTGATTTGTACAGAGTTAGCTTAGCAACGCCTACAATTAACGAATTTTGGGGACTACAAAAAATACTTCCGCCCCCTGTGAGATCACAAAAGTTCGTTATTGCGCATCCCACACTGCGCAGGTAAAGGCCGTGGCCATAGGCGCTGTAACGTTACTGCAGAGAGAGAAATGCCATCCTGCTGTTTCCACAGAGCTGTTCTGTTTCTGTTGTTGGGCTTCCAAATGACACGACCCAAACACAGAAGTGCTTACAGTTCAATATTAATTATGTTCCAGAGAACTATAAAATACATAGCAAGCATGATTTGACAAAACACAGCTTCCAGAATCTCTCCCAGTTCAGTGCTGGATTCAGTTAAAATCTCCTCAAAGATGGAGCAAGGAGATGCTGTGAACTCTGAGTCATGACCTGTAAGTATTTTTATTTGTTAAAATTGATCATGACATGTACAGTGTCTAACTTTAACCGGTGTGTTGTAGCAAAGATGTAAACAACGGGAAATTATGGTAACCGCTAACGACTTAGCTAACGTTACAAATCTATATTTATCAAACGGCTGTAAACGCACACACACACATACACATACACGCACTCTTGGCCAGCACCTGCGTCTCTCTGTGGGAGACGGCAGAGTTTCTCTCTATAGGCAGCTTTGCTATGCGTTTTACAACTCGGACAATAAAGTCGCAAAAGATATGTGAACGATTCATGTTACTTACACAGGCATATTCCGCATATGCATGAAAGACGTCCTGTAACGCGTTGATTTAAAAAAAATACAGCAATGATTTCCCAACTGGAGTGTAACATCAAAAACAAATCAATCCAGGCTCACAAAGGTCTCATCTCACATCTTGTGCTTTATTCTGTCACCACAGAAAATAACTTAATCCGAGCATGAGAGAAAAAGAACAATAAAAATCTCTCCCGCGCACATGCGCTTCTCGTGTTACAGATACTTCATCGTATACACGCATAAACACACTAAAAGGCACAGAAACAGTTAAGGAGCTGCATCCCATTTTAACTCGTTACAGACACGTGTTGACTGACTGACTGACTGACTGTTTACACAAAACGCGCGTGCTTGTCAGGGCGTGACGTGGAGCCGATCGGCGAATCACAGCATATTATGATGATGACCAATCAGAGTCACTTGAGGGTGGGCCTTTTAGAGAAACTAGGAAATATGACAGTCGTTTTCATGTTAGCTGAGTAGCTGTGTATAATCAAAGTGAGATTTATGAAAAAATAACACGATTTCCTTCAAGTTAAACATGAGCACACATTGCTTTGCATCTTATTAACACAACCAAGCCTTAAAAATAACATTCTGGACCACCCCTTTAAGTGCTAAATTTACCCTCACGCTCCATCATACCATCAAAACTCACAAGACAACTTTTAACCTTGGTGACAAATCTCGCCACCATTTACTTTCGCAAGATTTCGTAGCCAGAGATCTCGTCACATCCCTAATGCATTATGGATGTGGCCAAAAAAGTGCAAGTTTACAGTGGACAACATACTTTGTAGAAATTCTGTGAATTAAACCGCACAACCCAAAAATTAAAAGGGTAAGAATTGCTCACTATACAACAAAAATTATTAATTTTAAATTACTTTTCCATTGATGAGCAACAAGCTTGTTTATTAATGTGACACCTCTCTGTTATGGATGTGACTGATGTGAAATTGGCACTTGTGTGTCTTTGGTAAATCAATTATAATTGTTTGAAAACACTGACAGAGGCTTGTTCTATTTTACAGTACTGCAAAATACTCGTAGAAAGCACTTCACTATTCTGGTGAAAACTTTATTTTTCTCATGGGAAGGTTGACATTTGCATGGAATTGTGTGTGTGTGTGTGTGTTTTACCTGTCTGCTCCATAAACCCATGAAACACTGATGGTCTGAAAGATGACAACGATGATCAGAGGAAGAGTGGCAGAATAATCATCAAACATCGTCACAAAGTAGTTTCCACAGCGCTGAGTGAACACCAGACCGATCAGAAAGCCCACTGTACAGCTGCAGACTGAGAAATGGAAAGAGGATAATGACAATATTACAGCTACATCCAGATGACAACATTCATCTATTTTAGAGAAAAAAATCTGACACTGGGCTATTTTGTTTTGCGGAGATATATATTGCTATTATAAAATAATTTCTTCTGATGCTTTGAATAGCTCTATTGGGAACGATTTCATTATTGTAGATCTGCATAAATTAGAATAAAAGGCATGAATAAATACAACAGATCAAAAAATAAATACAACAGATCAAAAATAATAAGGGTTTCTGGAACAATCAAAAGTAAAATAACAGGGTCCTCATCATTGTAAATCTTTTCAAGTAATATTTATTATAGTAATATATATTTTAATATTTAATAAACAAATTAATCCTGCGATGTGACTATTGCAGATACACTCAATGCGATATGGATGCTCAAACAGTGTACTGCTCAGCTCTAATTTATTTATCTAAAAGATTCAAGACCAAACACTAAAGGTTTCAAGAAATGATGCAGATGATTTGGCACTAGCGCTACAACTAACAATTATTTTGATGAATCGATTAGTTGGCTGAGTATTTTTAGATTAAATCGCATAAAAATTGGCATTTTGCTTATCATAACTTCATAAAACCATAAATCAGCGTATTATTTATGTGAATTAAAGTGTGGATCAATTGGCTGCATAAAAAAATCATTAATAATTTCCATTTAATTTATTATCCGAGTCTGAATGAGCTTTTATTTTGAAAAATGACTGCATTTTCTCTCTTACATCTCAAGTCATTTAAAAATTAAAGCCACAAGCTAGCAAAATGAGAAACGGACATCTTTGCGAAGTTCTGACGTTTCTTTGCGAAGCATAAAAAGCCCAGTGAAGGACCCATGAACAGCCAAGAAATGGATCCGCAACTCATGTGTCAACAAATCTGGTGAATCCACCATGTCTGTGCAAGAAGAAAATCAACTGCTAGAGACTGCAAATGACAATGGCCATTCACATATCACATCTTATTCATGCACTAGTTTGTTATTTCAAATGTAGGCTCAAAGCTTTTTTAAATGAGTTTTTTTTTGTTATTATAACTATATAAAACCATAAATCAGAGTATTATTTACGTAAAAAAGTGTACTTTAATTAAATACAAAAGCCATGTATGAAGTTTATGGATCTTTAATTTTGACATTTTTAACTTTGAATGAAAAACATGTTCAACGGATGTTGTACGCATTATATTCACGTTATGAAATAAAAAGAAATAAACATGCTGAAAATAAGATTTTAAGTAGCAAAATTTGATGAAATATAAAAAAAACATCTTTATTTCATCAATTGAATTTGATTTAGATGGTTTTAACTGGATGTTTTATGAGATAATTATATTTTTTGCTGAAATTTTGCAAGATGGCAAAAAAAATCAAATAAATAAACCATTTGTAGATTTTGCATTGGATTTAGCGATCGCAAAAATCCCTAAATTCTAGAGGGTCTGGGTAGTATGTGAATTGGGAATAACTATAATAATTAAAAACATGGGAAAAACAACAGTGTGAGTTACTTGTAAAGATGAGCTTGTGGTTGCGCAGGGTCTTGAAGGTGTCCGTCAGCGGGGTCAGGATTCCGGCCATGGTGCCGAACATGGTGGACAGGCCCAGATTGAGCAGCATGAGGAAGAACAGCGCCGACCAGAACGGACTGCCGGGAAACAGTGTCATGGCTTCTGTGAATGCTATAAAAGCTAAACCTGTTCCCTCAACACCCTAAAGAGAGAAAAAAAACATCAGATCACACTTAATCAGATGTTAATCCGTCATCTTTAATTGAAGAAACACTTCAGTTAAATAAACTGAACAAAAAGGGGAAATGGGCTTTTAAGAGATCATCGTTTTCTAACACTTCTAAACATTTAAGAAATGCACAAACAACTATAAGTGTGATGTTTACTGTATAGTTTTTTGTGTGAGATGATTTTATTTTATACAAAACAAAACGTATATATTTTTTTAAATTATTTTTTTTTAACTATTTTAATGCCA